TACGGTTTGCTGAAATGAATTTGCTGCTGCAACTATAAAATTTCCTATTACACAGAAACAGTTCGCTGATATTCCTAAATATGGTCGACATAATAGCAAAATATGTATTCCAGGTTCGACTCCTGGCCGAGGAGTTTTTTTCGCAATATTTTCAAATTAGTTAGGGGGGTATTTGGGATCTTTCGTATACGAGATGCAAATCTAGCATCCTATATGATTTTATGAATTGAAATTTCAATTCAAAAAACTCACATGTAAAAATAATTTACATGTGAATTTCATACATGTGTATATATATATATATANACACCGAAAAAATTGTATTCTTGTTTTGAGGATATCCCACTTACTTTAAGTATATTTTATACTAAAATAGGCGCCAAGAAGAGTTTCTTATTTTAAGAGGAAAATCCTCTAAATAGTAATATTGATAAGAATATATACTGATTAGAATATAAAAACCCTCTATATAGAAAAACATATATATCTCACTATCGAAAAAGACTATATTCTTAAATTAAGAATATATTCTTAAATAAAGAATATATTTTTAATTTCAGAAGAATATCATCTAAAATCTTTAAGAAGATTTTTTAAGTATAAAATCTTCTACTTACGAGAATATCATTTTTTCGGTGTATACATGCACGCTTATTCCTGCACAACAACCTGGGAATGGCTCGTATTGGCCTATTTAATCTTAGATGGCTCATATTAGCCTCTTCATTCTTAGTTTCAAAATATGTATGTCTTGTAGCGCTAAGAGCTTAGGTGTCCATAATACTACCAAAATTGAGGAACCAAACCTAATTTTTAGAGCTGTGAGAGTTAACTTTTTTTTTTCCGTTTGTGATTTGTGCAAATTACGCGCAAATAAAACATATTGCGTTCGATATTACACGGTTACTCGCGCGCTCTCGATCGTTACGAGACGCGGAAGAGAAAGAGAGAGAGGGAGAGAGAGAGAATGGCGATCATAACTCACATAAGGAAGTTTTACCCGCTACAAATCAGGTTGTTATCGCGTAACCTTAAAGCGCGCGTCTTCGTTATTGTCTCTCCCGCGGCGCCTCGCGATTGTTTTCTCGCAAGATTTACGACGGAGCTCCCGAATCATCCCGCGGTAAACTTTGACGTTGTATTAAAACGCGATAACACGGTCGCGTTTGTTGTTTGCGCCCGGTGTGTTTCACCGGAGAAGCACGCGCGTAAAGGACTTTTGACACTTTTGCCGGGGGAGGGATAAGAAAGAACAAGGTTCTCTCGTTTCTCTCGCGGCGTTCAGGTGAAATATTACGCGAATATAAATACAACTTATTCTCTCTGAACAAGTTACAAAAGACGAAACAAGAAAGGATGTATCGAGAGCGAAAGCCCGAGTCGAAATTTAGCGTCTACATTGAACCTCAATTTTTGAAAAAAGGAAGTTTCGGACGCGCGTATAGCAGCGTCAAAGTAGCATCTACTTATTTTCTTACTCCTACTTTGAGCCTATCAGAGCCTGCAATGCGCAGTCTGATCTGAGAATTGAACTACTACTTTAAAACTTTAGCAGGAAAAAAGGAAATTTCGGACGTACAGCAGCGTCAAAGTAGGATCTACTTTCTCTCTTACTCTTACATAAAAAAAAGAAAAATTGAGGTTCAATGTAGACGCTAAATTTCGACTCGGGAGGTTGCGTAAACGTCTTTTTATCCGCAAAATTGTTTCGAATTAATTAAATCGAGAATTCGCGTGATTGATTGTAAAACTACTCGTTCCCGGCGATGTTCTCTCTATTTGTCTCACTTGTCCCGACTTTGTTACCGCGCGACGCTGTTCGCGGATGAGAATAAATGAAGCGAAGATACGTGGGGATAGAGAGCGGAAGGGAAAGAAATATAAGGGATTTCTCCGGGAAGTACGTGAGAGATCCTTGCGTCTCTCTCTCTCTCTCTCTCTCTTTCGAAATACGATTACATACTGCGGTACGTCGGTTGATTATTCGTATCAAACGCGTCTCGCAGCGTTTCAATTTCTTTTTCGGACGCGTCATTGCGCGGTTTACCGTTCGTAATTAATTCGACGACATTACCGGGTCGCGACTGCGTCGTTTTTTGCATTACCGGGCCGAAACTTTTTTAATTACTTCGCACATACCGACGGAGTTTCGCGCGAAAACCTTACGGAAAAACCGATTATTTAAACCAAACCACTATATCTGTTTACGCGCGGAATAAACTTTTTCGTGAGAAGCTGAGAAAATAATTTTGAGCCTCTTTGACGATTTTTTTTTTTATTTTGCGTTTATTCCTTTCTACGTTATAGTAAAAAAAAAAAAAAAAGAAGGGAAAGAAGAAACGAGAAATGAAAGCGACGCATATAGTAACTCCATAGAGCGCGGGGTTCATACGCCACTCTCATGTCCTACTCGCTTTCCGGGGTTCGCTATTGAGTTAGCTTATCGTACCACAATTCGCTTCTATGTACGAATCCGTGAAATCCGTAGATCGCGAATAAACTCGAGAGAGAGAGAGAGACAGAGAAAGAGAGAAAAAGAGAGAGAGACAAGTTTACGAACGACGAATACGAGATTTCGGGCTTTTTTTCGCGCAGCGGTACCTCGTAATGCTATTACTGCTACCCCCCGTCGATCGGAAACAATCACGACGGCTCCCGATTCGTTATGTAACTCGGATTTATGAAATTCCGCGCTGTCGGAAAAGAACCGCGTATATAAGAATGCTGCGTTTTTTTTTTATGAAGCACGCCATATAAACATATACATGTATATATGTATATATATATATATATTTACATATTTACACACATCGTTGAACTCGTGTATACATTAGCGCGATCAAAAGTAATTTCTCCAATAATTTTCAATCGCTAATGAACAATTGTGAAATATACATATCACAAAAGGAATTAAAACTCTCGACAATCAATTGTCGCAATTTTTCTCTCTCTATCACTGTCTCTCTCTCTCTCTCTCTCTCTTCGTTCTTCAGACCACAGTCTGTATTTTCCTTGATGAAATACGCGGACCTACACACAACAGGTTGGCCGTTATTGATTTGGTATATAAATTATTTTATTATCACATAATGTTAACTGCGACAAACGGTCAAAAGTCCGCGGGCACGTAAAGCCGACAAATTATATTGCGCTATTTCGATTGTCCATTAACGCGGTTAAAAAGGTATGCGCGTGGTATAATTGCGATTGGAATTAGTTATTAAATTGCTAATATCTTGAAACTGTATTACTCTCTCTCTGGCAGCCGCGCGCTATACATTTTCCATTATGTCCGCGCGGACATATAAATGTAAATGAACGCTTCAGCACAGGAGAAGGGGCAAGGAGGAAGGGAGGAAGCTCCTCCACGTTGCATAAGAAAAATCAATCTGATAGAAAGTTCTGAGCCGTTTCCTGCGCGTCTCGCGTTTCCGGGAAATAGCATGACTGACGTTCAGCCTTTTTCATGGACTCGAGACGCGTCTCGTACATGTACTATATATTTATATAATGTATATATTATACGTGTGTATATATATATATATATATATGTATACATACATACATGTATGCAGGGTACTTCGCTTAACTTGACACGAATTATCCCTTTTTTAGAATCATAATTACATGTTTTCGAGGTATCTCATACCATCTACAAAGATTAATTTCCGTGAGGAGAATGTCGCTCTGCTATTTCTGTCGGGAACTGTAATTTGTTCTTTTTCTTCATATAGCTGATGGCATTAAGTCATTTCGCGTATCAAAGTAAATGACACGGAAAGACGAACGTTTCTCTCACGATATATTACATTCTCTGTATTTGATATATCGTGTGTTATATTCTCTAATATATTCTTATATAATAAAACACCAAGCCGAAGGACCGCCTATTATTGGATTTTGTGAGGTTTTTGTTTTTTTTTATTTTGATTTGCAAGCATCAGATGCGAGTTAGATTGCAAAGAGAAAAACGGAAGAGAGAAAGAGAGAGAGAGGAAAAAGAAAGACTTATATATAAGCTTGTCCCGAGCGACATATCCGAAAACTATATCTGACAGTCGTGGCAGGGAGATATCATTTTATTATTTTGCGTGGGCGAAAATCTCGCACCCAAAACAATACAATAGTTGACAGACATTTCGATCGACGTCAGAGTCAAAAGGCTTCTTCCTAATCGCGCTTCCGATCGGAGAGCGACCGCATTTTCTTACTTTAAGAAAAAAAAAGAGTAAAACCTAACTTTCTAATTTACACAGCAAATTTCTGTAATCAGCAAAGTTTTTATTATTTACTTTTTTTGAATTGAATATATTGCGCGTCCACGTCAGCGCTATTATTTTCATCAGCGTTATTTTGTATTTTGGGAAAAAGCCCGTCAACGTATTTGTATATTTCGGTGTTTGAAAATTTATTGAACTGTACGAACTATATATAAACAAAAACAAGAAAGAATCAAACTTACGCGCGCGATTACTTTACAAATCTATATGGGACGTGACCGGATTAAGAGACATATATACGAACCCGGACGATAAAAGTTCTGTTAATCACATGTGTTACAACGTTATATTTTTACAGCCGCGATAGAGTAATATCAATCTAGCTCATCTCGAAAAAGTAATCCCTGCCGTGTACGCGATTATTAAGCCGTTTTTCCATTACGTCGGTATTACATATTTTATTTCTGTATATGTTTTTTTTTTCTTTTTTTTTTTATCCGATATCATCGTAATCTGTATAACGCAGATATATACACAAGACTCGTCTTTGCGCGAATTTAACTTTTTAATAAAAAGCGCATATTTTTTTTTTTTTTTTTTTCTATTGATCACCTTCGCGAACGAAACCTCGTTGCTTTATAAAACAGAATCTCGTCTTTTTTGTTTTATAAAAAAGAAGATCGAGCACAAAGAGACATGCGCGCACATGTTGTATCTGTTTCGCAAAATGATCTCGTAAAAACACGATGCAATACAAATAACTTTGTATTTATATTTCAGGACGGAGGAGCGTACGTGAAGCAAAGCGACATAGAGGGTTTGGGACTGTGCCCTTACGATCCACGACACAATAGCACAGCAGTTTTCGCCGGTAAGTTTTTACAAGAGCGCGCAAATCGAACGACGTATATATATATATATATGTATATATATATGTATTCGACCTCCGCAGCTGTCTGTCCGTGGACCACGCGAAACCAATTTCTCGATGAAATCAGAAACCGTATATATGAGTAACAATTTTCCGTATTATTTTATCTGTGGTCGCCGCTTTATTCTCCGGAACGTCGAACGTTCCGTGAAAGACGACGTATGTGTATTTGCCAATATTTTGAGTTCACGGATGAAACAAATCTATCTGGCGATAGATTTTATTCGAGCGTCTTTTACGCAAATTTTCGAACAAGTTTCGGCTTCGAGAGAAGAAAGTGGATTTTCTTTCTCCGTCTCGCGGGAAAAATGACTGCGATTTTTTGTGAAATGATCGGTGTGTGGAAACACATATATGTTTTTTCTGCGCAAACTTTACCGCGCCACTCTATGTGTGTGTAACGTGAAAAATCGCTACGTCTGTCTACGGAAAATATTTGTCGAGAAGATTTTTATTACATTTCGAAACACATGTGTCGCGCGCGCGCCCAGATTTGACAGGCAACGCGTGGCTTTGACGACGCTAAGTGCCACTCGAGAGATTCGACCGCTCGACAAACGAGTGGAGTAGCTTGCGAGAACGGAGAAGTTCAGCGCGGAAAATATTCACAAGTCCTCTTATAAATATATGCTCGAACGTTTCAGCGGATGATTCTCGAATTGTTTTGTTTTCCAGGCCAAAGATTTGATATTATAATATACATATATATATATATATTTCTTCCACTTTTGTTCTCTCAATTATTTCTCTTTCGCTAATTTATACAATTTATTTACCAGTTTATTTTCGCGTCAAATATAAAAACCGAATCTATATATGGAACTGATGCGTTCCGGTTGAATCTAAATAGATTTGATGTTAAAAAGTTTATAAAGAAATGACATGCAATTAGTCCGGGTCGCACTATACGTTTCACATTTAATACGAAATAAGCCGAATCTCTCTCACTCTCGCTCTCCCATCGCTACCAGCGTACCTGTTAATTCCGGTTTCATTATCCTGGAATTAGGTAGACAGTTTTGGATGACATAAACAGTAGAGAAATATATCGCGCATGCTACATTTACATACAGCATTGTGTTTGCAATGATACTATACGGTATTCATAAAACAGTGTGTGCGCGCGACGATTTGTCTCTTTCTCTGTCATTAACAAATTTTAATTTGTTCTTACGTACAAATATATTGTCTTCAATTAAAAAAAAAAAAACACATGCAACGACAGTAGCGTTATAAACAATTATTTTTTCACAATAATGTTTTTAATTATACACAACGAGATATCCAACAAGGCATTAATAAATATTTATTTTAATTTAATTATCTTAATTGGGGTTAAATGACGATAAAAATTTTTGCTAGAATAATTGCACTTTTGTTTATTGTTAAAAAGCCTTTCCTTTTGAATTCTCGATTTCTTGCTTGCGATCAATTCATCCGCAAGCTCGAGCAACAGTCTATTGTACGATTTTAATTAGACGATAAAATAAAAAATAAAAAATAAAAAAACACATTTTGCGCATGCGGCGTACACAAGGAAACTTACACCACTTTTGATGTGAAATGTGCAGTAGTTTCATACGTTAAACGTTGTAATTTGCTAATTACGCGCGTGTCGTACGCTCGCCAAAGTAGTGCCACGTGAGCGAATCAATACTTTGACCGGGGCAAACGATGCATTGCTTGAATGAAGTCGTTTCTCTCCGGAAACGCGTATGATATTTCTATGTAAATAGTGTCTTTCTCGGGATGGGGAAGGGGAGGGAATACACACGAGAAATTCGAACTTGCGCGGCACAGAAGATATTACCTTCTCTATTCATTTAATTACTTCACCTTGTGGACCGGCGAAGTAATTAAATTCATAAAGGAAGTTAAAAATACATGCGCACAAACTATCTCTCAAATCTCTCATATTCTTTCATGTGCGGATAACTTGATTAATTTCACAGAAGTTCTTTTATGAGCAAAAGTTTACTTTGACATCACTTTTTTTTCGCGACCTTTGAAGCGAATCTTAATTTATATTAATTCACAGTTTTTCTTTCTCTCTCTCGATAAAAAGAAAAAGATAAATATTAGACTCCAATATTCTTTCTCCGTTCCTCTTAAACTACGAACGATACCAATGCAATAACGATAAATGTTAACGATATCGGTGATGACATAAGAGGCTCATTCACGTCGGATGTGCGACAGTGTAGCAATAAAAAAAAATTAAAAAACAAAAAAAGAAAAAACCACTAACATCGGAACGGTGACACGATTGTATACACGTGTATTTAAATTAGCGTTTATTTTCGTGAAATTCTGAAAAAAAAAAAAATTGTGACCTACCGTTTGACTTTCTGGCCACAATCTGTCAAACGGCGGTAATAACGTAATCGAAAATGTAACGACATTTTTTTTTTTCGTTGTTATATAACGCGGATATACAAGCTCGGAACCAGTCGTAATAAAATCGGTTGTCGCGCTCTCCCGATATATCTCGAAACACGATTTATCAAAATTGACATTTTTTTCATTCTTCCTGTCGTCCTTCATATGTCCAATCATATCATATCTCTATTTCCTCTTCTATCTACATAGTATATACACACGCGCGTCAATCTTGTCTATAAAAAAAATATATATATTTGCAACCAACAAATAATAGTTGCATTAAAATTATTGCATCGCAATAATTTCGAGACGATTTTTATATTTCATAACACACGTATATTATTATTATGTAAAATAATATATATATATATATATTTTTTTTTTTTTATATATGTATACACTTTATAATACGTATAAAATAAATAAAATAAATAAAAGTACATGTAAAATAAACAAATATACATATATATGCATAAAAATTTATATCGGCTCTCTTCTCGCACAGTTGGTAAATTGTTTAATCAGTTAATTATGTATAATATATGGTATTTTCTGATTGTTGATTATTGCACGTTACTTTTCATTTATCTCTACATTACGCGCTGGTGGTTGTGTAATAAGATAATTTAATCAAATGAGAATGAAATAAAATGTAATGGGAGAATATATAAATTAGTAAAGCGTAAATACATACGCGTCGTAATTTATTATCCATTATTTTGATGCAGCAAATAACTACAAAATAGCAAACGTATTTTGTATTATTATTTATAAGCATTTAATTATCATATACATTCAAGTTTTCGCGTATTTTGTTTTAGCGAGTGATTTTAAAACCCTGTTTTTGAACAACTTGATTGCACATTTCTAAAAAAAAAACGGTTTTGTTATAATTTTATACTCATTATAAATACATATTCTTGTGGGTTATTTTCGTTCGATGATGAATACAAGTATAAATAACTCGGTGTCATATTCCACATACGTGTATATATACATATATAATAATCGGAAAAGTTACAAAATTGCATTATGGTTTCTTTCCTTCATCTTTAGTAGTTCGTAGAAGAAATCGAGAACTTTTTCAATTGATTAAAATTGGAAAACTTCAGAAACCATGAAATTCAGAAGTTTGTAGGAGGACAAATTTTTATGAGACAAGTATACAGTTATTCTTTTTAGTATTTTTTACACGTTTTACATCTCATCTTTTTTTTTTTTTTATAGCGCGTTGAAAATTGAACAATTTTTTAATTCTCTTTACGTGGAATCGTATTGGATGGATTTTTGCTTATTTGTATCTATATTTCCAAGTTACAATGCGGACTTTATAATGTGAAATGCGAACCGTGATTTTTGCGTAAACACAATTCTTGCAAAACAAAATTGGAAATATTGCAGTAAATTTGCAAAAGCGGTGCATTAAATCGTCACGTAGTTTTAAAGCGCTCGTGCGCGAGGAGGTTAGTAGTTATTCGAAAAAATTGTAAAAAATTTATCAGTCACTAGGGAAAAACCGTGTTTTAATAGTTACCGCGCAAATATCCGATATTCGATCCGAATCTGTTTCAGGTCAAATCGAATGCGGACAGATATATATTTCACATATATACATATATAATATAAATTAATAGATAAATAGAGTTTTGTGCGGATAATCGATAAAAAATCCGGTTCGTTCGCATTGTTACTCTGTTAGTTTTTTTTTTTTTTTTTTTTTTTTTTTTTTTTTTTTTTTTTTTTTTTCTACGCGAAACCACCCATTACGAAATTAAATTCACAATTTTGCGTATATAATTGATGTAACACACGCGCTCTTTCCAGTTCATCCGGGCGAGCTTGACTTGTACGCTTGTAGAATCTTGAGAAATGGCTCAAAGCTTGTCAAATGGTCCAGGGTTTCCTTCCGAGAAGATGTATATTCTCCCGCGGGAAATAGCATGCGTTCTATCATAGCATCCGTTGATTTCGAGAGGATCTTACCGGAGTCTCGTTGCTCCCGAGGTCTCTCTCTCTCTCGCGAAAGTTTCATCTCACGGCTTTACTCTCTCTCTGTACGTTGCCTTGCCCTCCCTCCACACCGACACATCGCACGTTTCTCACGTATACAACTCGGAAAAGAAGAAAGACGTATTTCTTACAAAAATAAAACGTTACCGTCGAATATATATATATATATACTTTGTTACGTTGTTATTTTTGAACGCAATTTGCTATTTTTCGCCGAGCTTGATCGCGGGTCGAAACTGCAGCTTGCGAAAATTATGTTTCGTATTAAAAAAAAAAAAATCTCTATAAGAAGCTCAACTCGGAATTAGCACAAAATCAATCCTTGTAACTCGAAGTTTGAGGAATGCATTTTTTTAAAACTCGTATTGTCCGTTTCTTTGATGCTCGAGCGCAATTTGTTAGCGCAATTTGTTTTATTCCGAATCTTGTTGTACAACAACAATCCACGCGTCGACACTTTCGTCGCATTTTTGCGGTAACGCGTCAAATCACTTCCTAAGTACAGATTCCGATCTCAATAAGATACACGCGCGAAGAGATACATATGTGTCTCTGCGCGTCGCGGGAAACGTAACGCCGCCGACGCGCGTTGAAGCGGCAACACACAACTTAGAGGCGGAAAGAAAGAAAAGAAGCCTCTTTTCTTCTCGCTCGCGCGCGCGCGCGCGCGGCATTACGCGTGGTTGTACGATATTCGCGGGGGCTTCGGCGGGGGCTCAGCGTAGATTTGTAGCCTGCAACGAGCACGTTCATCCCCTAAGTCTAACGTCTGCCCTCCGCGTTATATACGACCGCCCGGCCTCTATATACACTTATCGCGCGCATACGTTGGCCGGCCTCAAATCCCATCGTGCTTTTTGAACGTGAAATATGGACGCCCCCGCCCGTGGAGCGCCCGAATCCTTGGAGGATCCACCTTCTCCACTTTCGCGAAAACACGCCGGGGAAAATGCAGTCGCTAGCTAGGATGCGCCCGCTGTATTGTAGGTATACTCGCTCATGACGCACGTTCACGTGTATATATATATATATATATATATATATATACGCACGCACACACACACACCGATCAAATCCGCGGCTTCTTTCCCGGAGCTTTCCGCCGCTCCCGACGTTCTCCCCGCGACGCGCGAGAAAGATGGCCCGTACACGGAGTCATCCCCGAGATGACACGGTCTCTTCCGCCCCGACGGAGGATTTTCTACCGACGGGGGCTTATCTCTGATCCGGCGCGCCTTTCTGAACTTCAATTTGTATATGATGCTATTTTTATCTGTATAAATAATTCACAGATCTCTCGATTGCGCGCTTGCGAAAAGTAACAACTTCGAAACTTCGCGAATAGACAGACGCACAAAGAGACGCGAATAAATTATATTGTGTCGCGCGCGCGTTTCGATATTAATATACACGCGCGGAGTCGTGAATTTCCAAGGTGAAATGACCAAGGGAATTACAAGCACGAGTCTAATCGTCCCGCTCGATATACGACGTAATTTCGGAGAAGCTCCGGGGAGAGCCTCACCGACGGCGTCCTTCGAGGACTTTGATAGCCGCCGGAGCGAAAGTTGGGTCGTGCCGTAGATCGGAGTGGAACATCCTCCAGAAGCGCCCTCGGGTGTGCGTGCGCCACACGCGTAGCGAAGCGGATAGTCCCGACGACGTATATAAATTCAACCGGGTAATTTCCTAGAGAGTGAAAGAGAGAGAGAGAGAGAGATAGAGAGAGGCGTTATAGCGCAGGAGGATGAATTAACCTGAGAACGCGCGCGCGCGCGCTCTCGTTGCTATGTATTAACCATCGGCCTGATGGTGCCTCGTTTAGCTTGCAAATGCGGAAGGCGCGACTGACTGACGGGAGAAACGTTTATGCATGTTTCAGAGGGACAGGTGTACGCCGCGACGGTGGCTGACTTCTCCGGTGGCGAGCCACTGATTCACAGGGCGATGGTCCGCACCGAGCGCTCGGATTTGAATCAGCTGAACGGTAAGTTGAGAGATTCGGAAATGTTCCTCGGCGATTATGCGGGTTTATTTGAGTTGAGAAGAGTCCCGCGCGTTTGCCCTCCCCCTCCCTCTCCCCCCGAGATACCGCAACTCGAAAAGTTGTTCAAACGCCCGTTCGATAAAATTTCAATTTGCGCGCTTAACCGCGCTTAACAGATCGAAATTGGCATACGTCAAGTAGTTCCCCGCAGAATTTTTCTATGAAAAAAAAAAGAGAGCGTCTGTTCTTTTTTTTTTTTTTGTACGCGCGCTTTTCCCGTCGATAAACGCGTAAAGAGATCACGCGCGTGATTGTTATTAAACACACGATTGTGATTTTTTTGTTTCAATCCAGGACCAAATTTTGTCAGCTCGTTTGCGTACCAGGACTACGTGTTCTTCTTTTTCCGCGAGACCGCAGTGGAGTATATGAATTGCGGAAAGGTGAGATATATCAATCTCTTTACAACACAAAAACAAATTGACAACATATGAAACAAATATTTTTTGTGCGTTACATATCCGCACAGAGATCTTTAATAAATTACAAAATTATTTAATTGAATTCTTATAATTAATATGAATTTTAATAATAATAATAATTCTTCTTTAACTTATATTTTGATTTTATTTAATATTTACAACGCATTCTCATTCGCTGTAGCGCAGAAGTTCATTTGTTAATTAAACTATAACGACGCTTTTTTGTGGATATCGATTTTTCTCTTAAATTTGACGTTTCATTCGAGCATCGACGACGACGAGGTAAAACGAATTTATATTTGCAACAATATATCGGGCATTAATTTGCTCGAAAAATTTCGAATTTCAGGCCGTTTATTCGCGAGTTAGCAGAGTCTGTCGGCACGACAAGGGCGGGCCGCACGCATTTCGCGACAGATGGACGAGTTTCCTGAAAGCGAGACTCAACTGTTCGGTGCCGGGCGAGTACCCCTTCTATTTCAATGAAATACGTGAGTATGCATATGCTGCGGCGGCGGTCGCTTCTTCGCGTGGCTTCGATCGCGACGCTACACGCTCGAGTAGTTTCGAACACCCCGGGAAGGGCTCTCTCTCGCGCGCGCGCTTCCCTCTAAAAGGGTCTTCTCCTGCAAAAGACCGCCTCCGATTCTAACGCCGCGTTACCTCTTCCCTCCACTTTAAGTATAAGCGCGCGCGCGCGCGCGCTCCTTTACTCTTTTCAAGGTTTTTGCAATTTCCTCCCGACGTGCTGCGTGTCCGCGTTGAACGAGACGCCGAATACGGTGAGATAGAAGCGCGATTCCCTTTTGAAGGAACCTTCAATTATACGCGAGCAACGTGTATTTGGGTTCAAAATACACGGGGAATAAAATTCGCAACATATATATTCTCTGAAATGTAAACGTACACGCGCGGGGGGATTCGTAAATAAATTTCCGAAAATTTGTCGCGTTATTTTCGGAAAAAAAATTTGATGATGAAAAATAATTTTGCGTTGTGCAAACGCGAACTTGTTATATATTTAATATTGATATTTGCCAGTGTTCCGTTCTCACCCCGCGAGAGAAAAGGATTTGCAAATAAAATTATTTGCAACAATAAAAACGCATTTTGTTGCGTAGTGTGCAACGCGGTAATACATTGACTCGAAACGATAATGGACGTATTTTTTTACATTTACATTCGCGCGACAGTTTATTACCGGGGAGCGCGCGCGGAACGCTTTATCGATTCTCGCGTGCACACGCTCTTCGTGTGAACGCGCGCGTATGACACAATTGAATAAGTCACTCTCTCAAGCTATATCCTTATCGCGCGCCCGAAATGGACTAATCTCGAGTGCGGGGGCACAATAGCCCCCACGATGCGCTATCTCCGCGTCTCGTGGAAACGTGGGTGGGGATAAATGAGGACGGGACAAACGCGAGAGAGGAGCAGCGCAAGGCTCTCTCCATAGAATATTGTCGCCGCATATCGAATTGAAATCCCTATGCTCCGGCTAAAGTTGGCGCGCATCCAGACACCGAGAATGCCGGAGAAGCACTGCGAAATCACAGGTCCCGGGACTGTTACGCTGATTGTTCAGAAGCTTCGTACTCCTAGCGAGAGGGACTAATCCGCCGCGTTATTAAATATTAAATGCGGGATTTGTCTGTATTTAAGCGTCGTCGTTGTAAAAATTTGCTCAATTTGAACGCTCAGATCTTACTGAGCGTAAGCTTAAAAACACTTGTAAGGGTGCGAAAAACAAATTTTAATCAGAATTAAAGAAGAACAGAGAGAAAGACACAGTTGTCAGAATCCAGTTAATATATATCAATGGAATTCGATGACTGAATAAACACAAAAGTCCCTGACCTGTTGCCAAAAACGTTCGATATCGGATCTCGTCTATTTTCCACAGAATCCGCGTCGGAACGGTTGACTTATGCATTCCGCATTTTAAAGCGGGATATATAACAGCGACATCGAAGATCTCTGCGAAAATATTGGAAATATCGCACCCAAAAAAAAAAAAAAAAACTTCCCTTCGAATGTTTTTCCACCGCGCGTATCATATTTCGCGAGAAAGAGTTTGAACGGTGCTGATTAAAATATTATCGCCAAATCTGTTAATCGATTTCGACTTGTTAAAAATTTCAATCTTTCCCTCGTATTTGTCTCGTACGCGATCAGAAATCTCAAATCTAATTTTTCATATCTCGCACAAGCATCGATTTCCTCGAAGTATAATTTTCATTTCGCTACGTGTATTACCTTATGCGCGCTCGAAACACGTGCGAGAAAAGAATTGGCACCGCGTGCGAAATCATTTTGTACGCGCGCAACTGCGCTAATGTGTAAAATAATAAAAAAAAAAAAAAAAAAAACTGGAAGGCGACAACCCGGAAAGCCGGAGTTCCAGGTTTGACTCCCGGCTGAGGAGTTTTTTTCGCAATATTTTAAAAATTAGTTAAGGGCGTATTGGGGACCCTGCATATATATAAGATGCAATATTAGCGTCATATTTGATTCAAAGAATTGTTATTTCAATTCCAAAAAAACTCACGTGAAAAATATTACACGTGAATACATATATATATATATATATGATGCTAATTGTTTTATATATATATATAAAACAATTAGCATCATATTTGATTTAAAGAATTGTTATTTATATATATATATATATATAATAATATTGCATCTTATATATGCAGTATATATATATATATGCATTCATATATATATATATTCTCACATTTACGCACAACATGCTGCGAACGGCTCTTCATGTCCTTATATTCATATATTATTAGTTTAAAAGACTTATAGAGCCCGAGAGTAATCTCTATTTATCACTAATTGTTAAAAAAAAAAAAACTATCGAGCAAATTCTTTGTTTCTTATCTATCGGTTAGAATCCACGAGCGACGTAACGGAAGGTCGATACGGCGGAAAGTCCGCGCGTTTGGTTTACGGGGTGTTCACGACTCCGGTAAACTCTATTGGGGGTTCGGCTGTCTGCGCTTTCTCCATGGACAGCATTCTCGAGGTCTTCCAGGGTGCTTTCAAGGAACAGGAGACTATAAACAGCAATTGGCTGCGCGTGCTTCCGGAGAAGGTGCCCGAACCGAGACCGGGCGCTTGCGTTAACGACTCCAGAACACTTCCGGACATAACTGTCAACTTCGCCAAGGCTCATCCACTGATGGACGACGCGGTGCAATCTTACTTTTCATTACCTGTGATAACTAAGACGAGTTTTAAGTACGTGAGATCTAATTGGATTACATCTTTGAATTTGCTTCACGTTAAAAAATTAACTGAAAATAACTGATAACGTCTTGAGAAAATTGAAATAAATTTTAAACGTGAAGAAAATTAAAAGATTTAAAAAAATTTTTTTGGTTTTTTCATTTAGTTGATAAATTTTGTGATCTTTTTTTTAGTTACAGATTTACCAAAGTCGCAATAGATCCTCAAGTAAAAGCGCTAGACGGCAAAGCTTATGACATTCTTTATATTGGAACAGGTACAACTTGCTTATACTTACTAATTACATTTCGTATTTTTACACACGCAATTACACATGTTTTTTTTTTTTTTATTACATATTTATAACAACGCGCTTTATTTATTATTAGCACCGTGTACACGTCAAAATAAAACAATACTGTACATAATTCGTACATCGCTAATACTATGTCTATGCATACATATATATATTGTGATATTCATAATATTATAATCATTTAAATGTGATATTAATAAAAGATTAACTTGTTGCGTGCAGATGACGGTCGTGTTTTGAAGGCCCTCAATACTCGCGCACCAGAAACACTTGAAAATGTTAGTCAAGTAATTGTTAGCGACGTGCAAGTATTAAAATACGGTAAGTCACGTTACAACACAATAAATATTTATTTTTATAAAAACATGATATAAATATATATATTTT